CAGCCAGTGCCACATGCTGGCCTGATTCCCGTTGTCATTGCTACCGAATCAGTGGCTCTGCTCACATTTAGCCCTTCAGAAACAAGACTTTCTGTAAAGATGGTTTCCTGAGAAACCCATTGGGCACATGTGACTTTTTGGGGAGGTTCCTCTGGTTCTTAGAGTCAGTGCTTCAAATGTCTACTTGCTTCTACGGTGTATAGTAACATGGACACACACAGCCCTCCCTGCAGGGTCTGTAGTGAGTACATGTGCTCACTGGCACAGTAACACTTTCCAGGAAAGGAAGGCCCAGAACCAAGCCCTCAGAATCAAGTGTTGGACGGTAGATGGAGCGTGAACTGCGCCCATCACTCATCTCTGTGCTTGAGCCAGTGGCTCTTTCCTTCTGGAGGAAGCTAAGAAGTCACATAGTGGGCCTTCTCTCCACTCTCAACTAACATTTCTGGCAATGCAGGAAACTAAATGTAGCCAGCTCGCTTGCTAAAAACAGGTGGACATGCTGGATAAAACAGCCTTTAAAAACTTTAAGTGCTTAGTGAATCAAGAAGTTAGTAAGCTATGCTGAAGCCAAAACCTATGCTAGAGTAAGATGGCAGATGCTAACTTTGCCCTGAACAAACCTGGCAAACTTAGGGTTGAGTTTTGTGGCCTCACAGAGCAGAGGAACTGGCAACATACTCTGCATAGAGACAGACACCAGGGACTGAGCCCAGGGAGGGTGGCATTGGCAGACAGGGATAAAGAAAAAGCCCAAGAGGGAAAACAGGGGTCTGGACAGGCAGTGGGCAGATGGGAGGCGAGGCTCTGTCTGCAGGAGTGGAGGAAGCCGGAGGTGCCCAGTGGCAGAGGGCTGCGTCAGACCACAGGATTCAGCAATGCAGTTCTGCAGCACAGTGAAAACCAGGTTGTAAGTGAACCATGGCCTGAGCAGAGCCAAGCCATGACCATGAGGGCCTCAGCTAGGCCTAGAATCTGTATTTCCAGCAAGTTCCTCTGGTCACAATGCTGGTAGGCACTGTGACTGTGGCAAGACCTCTGGAACAAGGTGTTCCCAAGTGAGCAGGTCACTTTTTTGTGTCACAGGAGTGGCTCATGGTGCGCCACCCTTGACCTCTCTGGGGTATTGGCCTCTTGCTGACCTGACCCACAGTTTGTCGTCAGAGCTCTCACCAAAACTAGGCTTGGGTCCACCTGTGGTGCCATGTCTGCCGACACATCAGAAACCAAGCAGAACTCACCTGGAGGGTCTCGTGGGTTAGTGCAGGGGATTGCCTTTATTTCTGCATTTTTCTGGGACTTAACATCCTACATCTTATGACTCTGATATCTAGAATTACCTCTCTAGAATGACCTTGGAAATAAAGCTAACACTTTCCTAATGCCTACTTCTTATGTCCTTGTCGATACTGTTTCACAACTTTCAATTTGCATTCACTTTTCATAAACTTACTTTTAAGAATAGGGAAGACAGAAGGTTCAGAACAGAGGAAATCACTGGGTGACAGGCCAGGGAAAGCAGAGGCAAGGCAGCTGCAGTTCAGCTCCCTATGGCCATTTTCCCAACTGTCTTTCAACTTAGCAGCCTCCCAGAACACCTGCTGAAGCACCTGCCAGGCAGTTCTGTGCTGATCAGAACTGGAGACACAGAGGAGCAGGGACTTTTTATCATATATGGACATCATGAAAATCATCCCTCTGGTTTCTGTCTCACTTCACACAATTTTTGGAATCTGCTCCTGCTCATGGTACTAGCTTCTTTCTCTAAGCCTCTTAAGTTATTTTTAAAAAATACTGTTCACACGCACTATGCTAGAAACCAGACATTTAGTGCCATGTATGAAGCCGATTTAGGAACAGATTTTATTTTGCTGAGGGAATGGTATTAAAATTCACATAGAGTTCTAGATAAAATGACCTGCCTCACCAAAGAGAAAAGGCACATGTTATTTCCAAATCACACAGGAATAATATTTTTATACTCACTAACTTTGGGAAAATACCTGGGAAATAATCCAGAAAATCGGGCTGTCTGGAGGTGGTGGGAAGCCTGCGCGGATGCCCTCCCACTTGCACATGCAGCTGTCTGCTCATGCAGGCCCTGGGGGCAGCACTGGGTTCCAGAGCTTCAGACCTGCTCTCGTTTGACTTCTTGGGCAAGTGAACAAAGTTTATGCTCTCAGACAAGTTTAATGCACTCCTGTCACCACGAATGCAAAACTCAAATCCAAAACCGGATGCTCCTGGTCCTTTTCTTATTGGCAGCTAAAATCCCTTACTGTTAAAGACCTTGTTGATTTTAAATGAGAAGATGACTCCATTGCCATCTTGTCGGGGAGAAGCTAGCGTGAAGTATGTATGTGTTTTGGGCGCATTTGCTTTAGATGTTTGGACAGCAAGAATCCGCACTAAATGCTCTGAGAGACTTGTGTCTAAGCCTTTGGTTTGAAATGCTGAGGCCATAACTCAAGAAGGTGACACTGAAATGGAGGCTGTGGGGAGCTGGAGGCTGTGGGGAGCTGGGGGTCTGGGTGCTGGTCTGATGGAAGTGAAGCCAGCTTGAGAGATCACCCTTGCCGGGGTGGGAGCAGGGGAGCCATAAGGTCTGGAGTCCATGCAGGTTCTCCAAGAGTACTGCCTGGGTGCTCAGGCTCTGCTGAGCCAGCTCATGGGGTAGTGTGACTGCAAGGGCTGTGAAGCACATGACCCACTGGTTGGGGTGAGCTCATTTACCATTTTCTGGGGGGCCTTTGGCCCTCCAGAAGAGCTACTGAAGGGAAGGAATGATCTGGAAATCTCTCAGAAACTCAGTGTTGTGACATCTGCTGGGAAGGAGACCATGGTGGACACTGGGAATCGGAGCCTCTGTCACTGGCGTCCTTGGCCAGTTCCATTCTCTCCCACCCTGGGCCTCTGGACAATGTTGAGTTTTACATTCTGATCAGCAGTGTGACGGCTTGTGTTCACATCACCAGCACGAAGTCACAGGGTGATGTGCATTGGGAATGATTGCCTATTTGGTGATGTAGGCACTTTGCTAGCCCATCTGCCTGACTGAGGTTATTTTAGGAGAGAAGTTGGGATTCTGGATGACTCACAGGTCAGCACTGCACTCTCGGTTCTGGAGGAGAGAACGGTCATGACCCACAACTGAGAGTGTTTCATAACAGAAGAGGGGCGTTCTAGTCTTACTTAAATGACAGATGGTCCTCCATCCCTCCTCCACTGGTAGGTCAATGGCGGGAAAAGAGCATGGATAAGCAGAGGGTGTAGGGGAGTTGCTGAGCCTGGGCTCCTGGCTTGTTTTCCAAATAGATCAGTCACAACAGTCTTCCCTGTAGACACCACGACACTTGCATAGCCCTGAGGTCTCTGGTTGGCTTTTTTCTCATTGTAAGATGGAGGATTTGACTATATAACTGAGTATCCAGTGGCTGGTATGCCACTGTCATCCACGGAGCCTGAGCAGTAACGCTGGGTTGTCTCCAAAGGTGACCACTCTAATTGTGATCTCAACATGGTGCCCACTGGCAGGCCTCCAGCACCTTTACTTATTCATTCAAGATGTAACAGCAAAGCAACACAGTTACAACTCGGTCTTATAAGTGAGCTCATAAGAACCTCACAAACTGACCAGAGAAAAACTTTTTGTTGTACTTCTTTGCTTCTATAAATAAGGGCAACATTGTTTTACAAAACAGCAAATAATCACTGAAGATGTAAGATCAAAATTCTTTCTTTAGCTGTCAGAATGGAAAAGCCAGGGAGTGCACAGTCTGCTCACTTCCTTCCTCTACTTTTATAGGTTTCCAGGTAAGTTACAATAGAGGTGAAATAATACCACTTATAAGTAACCCAAGTTTTCAAATATTACAATTAAATGATTGCTACTATAGCTTCATTTGGAAGTATTTGCTCTAAGACTGAAATTAAAGGAGGAAGATTGTGGCTTTAATGTCAGCCTTTTGTTGGAAATCCAACTCTGACATCTCCAGCTGTGTAACCTGAGTTTCGGGAGGAAGTCTCCACCCCAGAGTTTTGGAAGGAACAGAAGGAATGACATGTGAACAGCGCTGGTGTGCAGAGCGCACAGCACATGCACTTCTCAGTGGGTATTTGGGATGACTTCCTAGCCAGTCCTTGATGGTATTGTTCAACCCCTCTCCTGTGCCACACTGTGGGAAGGGAGGACTGACCAGGTGATGGGTATTTTGGGAAGACATCTCAGAAAAGCATAGAGATGAATCTAGGGAATCGGGCTACAATGTCAAGAAAACACCTGCTTTTCCATTTTCCCACATTCAAGAGCTGGTGTTGGGGCACAGAGCCTGCCTTACCTGTACATGTGAAGTCATATGGCTTTGGAACAGGAAGCCCCACAATGGAAATTTGTAGTGATTTCTGTTGAGGTTTTATAAAGATGAAGGGCTCTTTTTCCTAAGGGGAAATCTTGCTTCTAGGCTGGCAGAAAATCTTGTTTGGCCTCTGAAATATAAGATGTAGGATGGCACAAGAGTGTTCTTCACATTATCTGTTTCAAATACATCAGGGAGCACGTGAACTAGACAGAGAAGGAGAACATGTGCATTGCACAGGTGATGTCATGTGTGGGAACCTGTCTGTGTGATCCTGAACACTGCAGTGTAGACACTGCAGCCAGGACACCCTCTGGGGACCATCTTGTTTAGCTGAGGTATTCATCCTGACCAAAACTTTCACCCACACTGCTTTTACCCAAGCTGAGTGGATGTCACTTAGAGTTCCTTGGGCATCTGTAAGACCAAATGACAGAAATCCCCAGAGAAAAGAAACATGCCAGCACACAGTAAATGGCAACATAACCGAAATGACTATATGAAGCTATGAGGTGTTATAGCTTTCAAACTCCAGTGCTGGAAGTCCATAGCACAGCAAGTCCCTGTCATTCAGTGGAGAGAGGTTGGGGGACACTCAAAGCTCCTCCCTCTGTGTTCTCACCCTGTGTTACTGCTGTCTTGTAGGAAGAAGCCATCGTGAAGGAGATCGACATCAGTCATCATGTGAAGGAAGGATTTGAGAAGGCAGACCCTTCCCAGTTTGAACTGCTAAAGGTGTTAGGACAAGGATCCTACGGGAAGGTGAGTTAAACTCTCTGATTGGTATGGAGTTGATCTCACTCCTGAACACAGGAAATGGGCTGAACCTGGAAGAATGAAATTACAGATGACCCTCACTTCACATGGCCTGTGTCAGCTGGAACCTGTGCTCAAGGAGGGAACTATGAACTGTGCCTTGCCCACCTGGAATCCTATCCTTTTGAGCTTGCAGAGCGAGGCCTCCCACACCTTGGAGCCATTCCACATGCACTCCAACTTCTAAGCCTCCTGAGCTTTTGGTTCATTACCTAAGGAGGGGTTATCGAACTTAAGCTGCTGAACCCTCCAAAGTGCATCCTAAATAGCTATTTTTCAAAAGAAAGGAAAAATAAGAGAATAAAAACATTATCTTGGCCTATATGAGTGTCGCTCAGGAATCAGGAGTGTCGCTCAGGAATTGCAGCCTCCTGCAAATTCATGTCATTTACATGGGTGTCTGCCTCTGGAAGCCTCAGTTTCCCTACCCATGAAATGAGGCTAAAGTAACTTGCTTTATGTAATTGTGCTATGGATTAAATAAGACATGAATCCATCTGGCAGTTGCCTAAGAAGTATTTGTGCACTAGAGCTGCTTGCTTCCTTTCTTGTTTTATCAAATTACAGTATAAAAGAACTGATTCCTTTCAGAAAATCAGAAACAGCTCTTCATTTAGTGCTCCATCCATATACAACAGGATGTCAACAAATGCTTTTCAATTTTGATATATGTAACTTATGCCAGTACAGTGCTAGTTTCTCTACATCCTTAGTGTTAACTGCTCGGTGGAAATAGATAGCTTTGACAACTTGATTCCTAGAACATAACGTCCTGAAATACACCATGAAGCCAACCACTCCCCGAGAGTAAGTGAACAGTGCTGGCTCTTTAAAATAACTCTTCCATGTTGCGTGCAGACATTCCCTCTCTCCACTGTTCACATGACTGTGGCAAGATGAAGTCCAGCCCCACCCAGTTTGATTCACCTGTAGGGTTAATAGTGTGTAACTGTTCTAGACAATCGCTTATAGGTCACATTGATTTGCTTGTTTTACAGAATTCAGCTTTTGTCATGTTTATAAGGTAAAATGTCTTTTTCCTTTTCGCATGATAGTGTGATGAGGAACATGTGTTTATACTGATACACATTACCAGTATTTGGTCATTTTTGTCCTACAAAAGTGGCTACTTAATATGACTCATCTGGTGCTTCTGAAGTAGTGAACTACAGATTTCGGTCTCACTATGTCAGCAGCCATTCCTAAAAACATAGAATATGAGCTTGTTTAAGGTGGCAGTGTGCTGTCTTGCATTAGTCAGAAGTGTAAGAAAAAACCAGGATGGATAATTCTTTAAGAACCAGGATTTGAAAATAACGACTAGGGCTTCCTCCCTGTTCTGCCTTCCAGAGTCATCATCCCTGTGTTGTCACTTGGGCGTTAAGTCACGTTATGTCAGCACATGTCACCTCAGGGCAGGAAGATCTGCCTGGAAGTGTGTGTATGGGCTGTGAATGACTGGCTGAGCTACTGAGTGACTCTTGTTACATAGAGTGTCTGATGGTGGGGAGACAGGAGCCCTTCCTGAGCTCCATGGAGGCAGACTGAAGCTCCAGGTGTCCCGTCAGCAATCTAACGGAACAGGGGCCACCCTTGAACACATCCTACCCAGGGAATTAAAAACAAAAGGAGGGGAAAGTTTCCTGATTCCCTTGTCCACGTTTTAAATTTCAAATTTTAATTTTACTTTTAAAAAAGCATTCCCTGGAAAGCAGTGAAGTAAATGTGTTTTGCAGAAACCCCTTGATACGGAAACATTGGTGACACATCACACAGTTCTTCCCAGCCTTCTCACAACTTCTAATCCCTTACTGACCCATGCCCTTGTAGGAGGAGTGAAGTTCAGAGGACAGTGGTCAGGAGGAGAAACAAAAGGAGGGGGCAAGGCAGCTGCCATGGGTGTAGGACCTCTGTGGGCTACTTAACCACCAATTCAACTCCTCCCCATTGAGAGCTGCTGTGGCAGCCAGGCCAAGCTGGGACTGCCCTGGGAAATGAAGCGACCTGACCAGGACCCTGGGAAGAAAAGGGGTCATTCTTGGAAGCTTCACTCAGAAAATCCCTGGGGAAAAGTTTGGAGCCAACATCAGCTACTAAGGAAGTAACAAGTACAAATTGTCTACACTGGTTGTTTATTACGAGTTTTTTATAAAAGCAAAAGCAGTGATGAAGAAAGCTGTCCCCCATATCATCTTAGTCCTGCTCTGTTAATACAGAGCATAAAACTCTATGTCCTCATGCAGGAGTGGCCCTTCCCTTGTCATCTCTTCCATCCCAGGAGGTCCTGTGGACCAGGTTTCCACTTGTCCCTGGGCTCCAGTCAGCAAAGACCTGGTGAGTTTGGACTTCAGCGTTCCCAGGAAGCCGAGTTCTCAGCACAGGGTCACAGTTGCCCACCACTGTGTCCCTCCTTCCCTTCTTTCTCCAATGAGTGACTGAAGACACTGGAGTCAAAGAGATGAATGAAACACCATCTCTGTCCTTTAGACCTTAGCAGAGAGCCTGCTGCACTGCATACTGTCCCCGTGAGCATCTAAGTGGCTGTCATCCAACAAAGTCCCTGTTGGGGTCCTTCACAAAGGTTCTCAGTCGGTGCCGTCTGCTTGTGCCACCAGAATTCAATGGTTCTTTGCAACACTGAGCACTGAGGATTGAGGCTGTGGCAGAGGGGTTCCTCCCATGCCAGAGTGCACCTGCACCAGGAGTGCCCTCAGCCTGGAGCCCAGGTGTGCAGCATACATGTGCTGCAAAAAGAAATGGTGTGTGCAAACTCTGACCACCAGTGACTGGTTCTACCACATAGGTTAGCAGGTGTTTGGGATGAGAGGGGATGGACGAGCCACCTTACCCTCCAAGACAAGAGCGATGTCTAAATCAAGCCTGGAAAGCAACGAGGTGTGATGAAGTTGTTGGAGTGTTGAAAGAAGGTGCGGGCCACCTGTTCCAGGGAACGGAGAGGCCAGGGAGGCAGAGCCCCTCATCCACAGGAGCAGTGCCCCCTGCCTCCTCGCCTGCACCTATGTGGAGAAGTTCCAGACACGTGTGGAAGTTTTTCTTTACTCTTCAAAAGTTCTGGGGAGTGGTTGTGATTGCCACATCTGAGAAGGAAGCAAACCAATATTTAAAATATCCTTGCTTTCCTACAGCTCAATGATAGCACAATACGAATGGGTCTCTAAACGTGTTCCTTTGGGGAAGAACATGTCCCCTGAAGTGGACAGGTCACTGAAGATACTGCAGACCAGTGGTCACCTTGCCACGCTGAGGGAGAGCTGTCAATTCTGCTAAGAGTGATCTTGGGGATCACAGGGATCTCTGACAAGTTGGGGCAGTTTTGAACGATGTTGTATCTGTCACTGGGTGGTGGGTCTCACACATGTTTTTGCACTGTGGTGTGCTGAGCTGCTGCAGAAGCTGTTCTAAAACTGAGACGAGGTGGCGCACACCACTGGATTAAGTGCTAGAGACTCGGTGACTACATTTGCTAAAATTGTCAGCTGTTTTAGTACTTGCTCCACCACATCAAAACTCATTCCTAAATTATGTCATCCCCACAGGAGAGGGACATGCACAGGGCAGTGGCGCCTGATTGATTCTGACGGCAGCATTGCTTACCTTACAGTGCTGTGGCCCCCTGGTGGGCCCTCTGCTCGCCACAGGAGCACCTGTGATGATAATTTGGCAAACAGTAGTGCTGAATAGGAGCCTAAAATAGTGAATGAATGGAATTTTCCTTTTCTTTCAAAAAAATTAAAGTAGAACTCCTATTTAAAAACAGATAAGTAGCTGGGTATGGTGGCGTGTGTCTGTAATCCCAGCACATGAGGGCTGAGGCAGGTGGATTTCAAGTTCACGGCAAGCCTGGGCTACATAGTGAGTTCCAGACCAGGCTAGACTATAGGGTAAGAATTCCTGTCTCAGAAAAGAAGGAAGGAAGGAAGAAAAGAAGGAAGGAAGGGAGGGAGGCAGGGAAGGAGGGAAGGAAATTAAAAAAACAGGTAAGTATAAATAAGCATTCACCATTGACGTCAATCATCTCCCTGTGAGAGTCTGAAATACAACCCGGAGAAAACTTTAATGTGCAAATGTCTGTACACAGCTTGGCACCATCTGCACCATTTACACTAAATCATAACTGGTGACTGTCCAGTGCCCACCTCAGTTTCTGCATAAGTGGACTTGACTCCACGATTCTCTGAACTCAGTCACACCTTCTGTTCAACCCATCTCGTGTTGCTGTAATGAATTTATAAAGAATGAAGACTGAGTAATGCACAAACAGAAGCAGCTTACTTGACTCACAGTCTTGGAGGCCGGAAAGAACAAGGGGTGTGGCAGAGTCTCCCGCATCTGGTGAAGGCCTTCGTGGAGGGTGTCATGGCAAGAGGGCAGGAGAGCACGTGGAGGAGTTTACCATTAGAACAAAGGCCCTCCCAAGAGGAGCAGCCAGTCCATTCAGTAGCACCCTGAGCCCCTCCCATCAGGCTCAGCTCCCAGCACTGCTACCCTGGGGATTAAGGTCCCAGCACATGAACTGTGGGGACCCAGTCACACCACGGCAGCCTGTTATGTAATAGAAGCTGAGTAAAGAAGAAAACAAGATCGAGTCTGGATGTGCCAAAGGCTGGACCAGCCAAACTCAACTCAACTTGTCCATGTGCCTTGCTTCTTTTTCCTGTAGCATTCTCCTGTTTGGACAGAAGAGTTTCTTACTACTCACGTGTCAGCTGTGCTGTGATAGGATGAAGGGACTCATCTGTCTCCCAACCAGAGTCCATGAAGAACTGGAGCGGTGACCCAGCATACCGTCCTCCATGTGGTGACTCGGTGCCCCGGGTCATAAATGCATGTGCTGTCACCATGACAGTAAGGTATAACTGGATTATCTGCACCAGTTCCTCCGGGCTCAGCCTGGAAAGACCACACCGGCTCCTCACTAGTGTCACCACCCCTTAACAGCTGGGTAGCAGAGAAGCAGTGGCCACGTGGCCAGCAGCACTGTCCCTGCCACAGATAAGCTTTCTCTTGTTCTATCACACTTCTCAGCCCTTTGGAACTGGCCAGAAGCTCAATGGCTACTCCTCAGCCTCTGTGGCTTCCCTAGGACCTAGGACCCAGGACCCAGTCACTCAGCCTTACTCACCACCTGGACTCCTGACTACACCTCCCACCTGCCCAGATTCTCCACTGACATCCAAGATACATTAAGCATCATGGATAGACTGAAGGATGAATGGAATTACATCAAATGGAGACTCAAACTGTGTCACAGATGACTGCCTGTGTGATGGAGCAGGGGACTCAGGAGTTAAGCACAAATGTTTTTCTCTCCACAAAATCCCTTCTTCTAACCATGACAGCCAATCCCTACCTGCCTGTTGAGAAGTTCATCCCCCATGCCAAGGGGGTGACCCAGCAGAATGTGCTCCGGGACTGCAGAGTTCCGCCATCTATAGGAAATGTGTGTGGGGCCATGGGTCCAGGTTCCATAGGACTCAGTGCCTTGTGACCTGCATGGCTGTCAGTACATGAGAGGGGGAGCCAGGCCGTTCCCCACATTCACACACAGGCTTTTCCAGCCGTGGGGACACATGCATACATAGACACTCAGCATGTCTCCAGATATCAACATGATTCTCTGTGATGGTGTTCCCAACCCTTAAAGAAAAGGGAGCCCTATTTCTGTTGGCCTGTGATCCCCAGAACCTGTTGCCTTCCTAGAGGTGGCATCTCTGTGCCCAGGACCTGGCTCCTCTCCCCTCCCATATACTCAAAGTCTGGGCATAGAATACGGTGTTTTCTGTGGACACCAGCTGTTCCTGTGCAGGAGGGCAGTGATTAGAGAAGTGGCAGTGGCCAGGAGGGACAGCAGGGGCAGTGCTAAGGTCAGGATATGGCTGAATTTTATTACCAGCACGTGGGGTGCAGACGTGGAACTCATGTTCAGGTCCTGCAAATCCCTGTAACTGTGCTGGGATCTTGTCTTCTGGCACAACCCATACTAGGTCTCTCAGAGAGACACCTGGGGTCTCCCAGGAGCAAATTACACACCTACCACTCTGAGACCCCGCCCTCCCTGAGCTCCTGAACTCTTTTTGCCTGGTGGGGAGCTAGGAGAGCAGGGACTTACACAGCCATCTCTCTGTGGCCAGGAGAGACCCAGCCCTCACTCCATGTGCTTGGCTCATGGTGCCTCTGCACTTATGGCAAACCCCAGGCCTCCTAGTAGAGTTTGCACGGAACCAGAATAGCTCCAGATGCATGTAAACGGGCTGGTGTGGCAAGTTGTGGTGTGGTGAGCTGTACTGTGGTGAGGGAGGCCTTTAGGAAAGGAGAGACGCACTTGGCCTCTCAGCTTACCAAAGGGCAAGTTCTGCCTTCTCCTCCCTAGAACTTGGTTTGCCAACCTGGCCTACCTCAGGCAAGCAGGTCTTTGCATCTAGTGGAAATCCTTTTGGGAAACTGAGTTTTCTTCATTTGTGCAGATTTTTTTCATAAGGGATACTCTGGATCATTTTTTCTTTACTGATTTTATTTAAAAAATCGTTAAATTCAGCCTATCTCGCTGACCTTTTCTTTTTGGTTTTCCTCTGTAATACACATCAAAACCTATTTCAGAAAATGTTAAATATCCAACATGAGCACATTTAAGGGCCAGTCAGAAACTGTCTGTACACTTAAGCTTCCTATGGCTAAAATTTGAGTGAAAAAAGTTCATCTTGAAAACCGGGTAGTGCCCACTGTGTGTATCAGACCAGAACTCCCCATGGTATCCACAGGGAACTTACAGAGGGGTATTAAAAATATTATCTGCCTTAAGTCTTTTGAACATTGGTGGCATCAAAACCAGATGGTTCTTCTGGCAAATTGGTGACTGATAACCATGCAGGGTTGTACCAAGTTAGGTGACAGTTTTCCAGGCAGTCTGGGTGCTGGACAAAGTTTAAATTTCCCCCAGTGTTTTGTTAGTGGGGTTTTTCTAAACCTCTGTGAAAGCCCTTGTCAAATCAGCCAGAACAATGAGTTTGAAATCTTGTCAGTTTCTGATGCTGTTTTTCTGCTTATCAGGTGTTCCTTGTGAGGAAGGTCACAGGATCTGATGCTGGCCAGCTCTACGCAATGAAGGTCCTTAAGAAAGCCACTTTGAAAGGTAACTGAGGTGTCACCACAGGTTTTGCTTTGCTGTGGCAAACATTCATTCCCCTCGTGTTCACTTAATGCCTCCAAAGGAGCGCACAGGCACAGGCACGTTTCTCTGATTGATAATAGGCAGTACAAACATTTCCTTGGGTATTTAAAGTAACCCTGCAAAATTTCCACAATTTTCGTAGAAGAGCCATGTTGCATAAATACCAGTCTTCCACATATGTTCTGCCTCTAGAGCCATTTGGGGAAAGGAGCAGCAAGGAAGCAGCTTGTTCCGGCTCTGTGTGGCATGACAATCGGCCCAACACTGCAAGCTAGACTGCACTGCTCAGTTTCGTAAAATGTGACTCACAATTATGTTGTTTTCCCAGTGACTAGAAATTCAGTCCAACAATTGGTTTCCAGCCTCTTGGCTCCCATCCTCCAAGTAAGGTGCAAGCACTAAATATAGGGTCAAAATAAAGATGTGTCCTATAGCCTGTATCCCAGGCACAGCCATTCAGCCTATCCATAGGTATTACTGAGCAGCTTTTCTACCAGTCACCCCACACCCTCCCAACCCCGTCCCTGCCGTGAGGGACAGACCTCCACCCTGAACAGCACACGATGGCAGAACACACCCCAGGCATGACAGCTAAAATGACAGGGGCTCACCAGTTACAAACCCTTACCCCAGGGAGGCAGCCCTATGGGCTCAATGGGTCCACAGAGGGCACTTGAGAGCAGGGACTGTGGGAGGAGCTGGTCCCTGGCTACTGCAGGTGTGATCAGCTTGTTTGATGCAGGGACACCAGGGGAGGGAAGCCTGTCATGTCAGACTGGGTTTGGTTCAGCAGGTATAGTTTACATGGGGACCTGCATGGCGGGGAGCCTCCCCTTGGGTGGGCAGGAGCAGGGATGCTTGTGGCTAGGCCTTTTGGGGCCTGTGAGACTCAAAAGATGCCAGGGCAGCACTTGGATACATATATACATATGTATACATGTATTCTGAGTCACATATATCCAACAATATAGGACAATAAATGCATGAACCAAATACATACAGACTGTAAAGGTCTTAGGTACACAAGGGGGAAGAAGAGCTCTTCCAAGGATGGTGGCTCCAGAAGGACTCAGAAGGTAAGTGAGACACAGGTGTAAATGCTGGATGATTTCTTCCCAGAAAAGAGAGAGCAGGTTGATGTCATCAGAAAACTGATGATCAGAAAATGCAAATGTTGACTTTGGCCAGCTTGGCGCTGGCACATTTACCTGAGTGCATTTGGGGATAGGTCGTTGTAGACACAGACCTAGTGGATCATAGTCTTATGGGCGCAGAGCCTGGAATTGGACTTTTTATCAGTTGTTTCAAATAATTCTTATGTACACAAAAGTCTTAGGGGGGCATTGTATTCACTGAGACGCTTGAGTTTTTAGTCAAGTGTTTTCAATAACAGCACAATTGAAGCCATGCTTTTTAGAGTTGACATGGAATCATACAAATGATATTTCTACAGCTGCTTGTCCATTGAACGTGATCACATGATTCTTCCTGTGAAGATGTATAGGCAACAAAGCAGGTTTTGACTTCTTTTCCCCAACTTTTAATAAAATCATCTCTTTACCTCACAGCTGTTAGATGGAAGTAGAAACTCGTATTAGCCATTCTGTAATTCAGGATCATCTGAGTATTCCAAAAGTGAACTGCTCTTACAGTTTCTTGAAAGGCTGAACACACGTTGCCATATAACCCAGCAACTCCACTCATAGTGGACAACCAGGAGAAGGGAAGCCAGTCTTCACAGAACCTGCCCAGCAATGCTGATAGCTGCGCCAGCTAGCTCTCAACAGCCCCAAGGTAGAAAAGCCAATGTCCTCCACTGGTAAGTGGGAGAATAGTGCACGGACACACGGTGGGCGTCTCCTGACAGTGAGTAGAAAGCACTGATAGATGGCACAGCATGGGTGAACCTTGAAGGCAGGATGCTGAGTGGGAGAAGCAGACTATGGAATCCATACTATGTGTGATTCCATCCGTATGAAGTCCTCAAAAGCCAAATCCACAGACACGAGAGGTAGATCCATGACAGGCAGGGCCAGAAGATAGACGCAGGCACTGCTCGTGGGTCTGTGGCGTCTTTGAGAGAATGAAATGTGTTAAATTGCCTCTGTTAATGGTGATTTCTGCTCTCAGACCTCGATGAGGTAGCTCCTCATCCTGTAGTTGAAGACAAAGGAAGGCACAGCAGGCAGCTGGGATGTCCATCCCACTGCTCCTGGTGAACACCACCTATCTCACTTTCTATCCCTGATTCCACGTTAACTCCTCCAGGGTGTAAGGAGTGTCCCTGAACAGTTCCTTCTCTCTGACTCATGGCTCGTCCTTCTTGCCCTTCAAGCCTGCTCCTGCCCTCCCACACTGGAAGGAAAGAGGGCAGGCAGAGTGAGGTGGGAGCCTCTCCAGAGGCTCTGTGTGCCCTTGCCTACACTGGGGGGGGAGGTGCCATGACACAAAGAGGTGGGAAGCTGTCCTGTGTTTATCTGTCGCTAGGCCCTGGATTCCGTCAGGGTTGATTGATGCTGACCTCTTACCTAATGTAAAACACCGTGTCTCATGACTCCAGTGTCATGGCTGTGTGAGCTTGCACATTTGTTTATAAACCAAGCTGAAGTGCCCTTGAGGACTGGCTACTGCTCCAGCCTTGTGCAGAAAAACAGGACATGAATGCATCTGCAGGACGGTCTCAGTGGTGTTGAATACCTCGTGCCTGGATCTGTCAGGTAGATCCAGCTGGCAGATTCACACTAGCAGGAAATGTGCTACAGTGAAAATAGAGGCTCTGTCCAAATTACAGAGTTACAGGTAGAATTTGTTTTCTTTTCTATGGTCTGCATTTCAAGATTTCAACAAAAAATAAAACATATTTGGCCTTTTGTAATACATTAAAATAGAAATAGGACAATAAACTTGACATTTTTCTATTGTGAAAATGAGTCATATAGGCAGAGAAGAATGGAAAACTTCATCTTCTTGTGTTCCTTTCAAAGTGAGCTGGTAAAGCAAACATGGTTTTACATCCTTACAGTTCTAGCTTTCTATAATGGTTCATCACTAAGGAATAGATCATTTTCCCATAAATCCAACTTTTGCCCATTTTCTGAAGAGAAAAGCAAAGAGTTCACAGAGCAGTGCTTCGTGCATGGTGGTCACAGCCTCCAGTGTGGTGCAGTGGCCACATAGTGAGGAAACCTGGTCTCCGCATGCACCTCACCCTGGGCCTTGCAGGAAAGGGTCTCCACCTGAGCTCCCCACCGCAGGTGGGAGAGTCAATTCAAAGGAGCGTTTGAGTTTGTTTTAGTTCCAATCCCTCTGCATTCTGTTAGCCTGAGTTACTCAAATGCCCCATAATCCACTCTCCACCTTCCTGAGACCCAATTAACAATTCTAAAGCATAAAATGGAGAGCAAAGAGACCCCTGTACCAACCACAGCGATGCCCCCACTCACCGATCTCATAACCCTGAGAGCACAATCACCCAAGGGAAAATGAGACGCATTGTTCAAATAGAAAAGTCATTTTGAAAATGAAAAATTAAAAGGGGGTGGAGGTTTGTGGAACTAATCACAAAGCTGCAGAGTGTTTCTCAGAAACACAGTGACTGTCATGTGCACAGAAGGCGGGTTGCTGCCAGTGGCGTCCACACACCTCGACAAGGGAGATAATAGTTTCTGACAGCTCTATTTTACCTTTAAGTTTGGAGTGTCAGGCACAGCCCCCTCCTTTCTTTAAAGAGTGACAAATCATTTCCAACGGAATGTCAACTGCACCACAGAAGAAAGAGGAAGGAGCTGATGGGTGTATCTGCTTCCCACCACCCCTGCAGTTCCTGCCCCATCCTCCCTGCTCTGCTGCCACCTCACAATGGGGTCATGCTACTGAAGAACCTTTGAGATCTTCAGGTTCGTGAAACTGACTCAAGGAGGGGTGGTTGCAGTCATGCATTCCACGTACAGGGAGTCCCAGTGCGAGGTGCCCACCTTGTTTTGGGGCATTTGGTTGGAAAAGTGCTCAGCTGAGCCTTGTGTTCCCAAGCAGGAGCCCAGCCATGAACAGGCCTGGTCTCACCCTCGAGTTAATGAGCTAGCAAGATGGAACTGTCACCCACCATAAAAGATGCCTCGTTTGTGTGGTGCACCAGATCTCAACCTGGCTACAGGCTGGAATTGCCTGGGGGAGCTGGCAAACTGCTGGTGCCCAGGGCCACGCTTGGAGAGCCTAAGTTAGTTGGTCTGAGTATGAGAATCAAAAACCTCCCTCCCAGTGTCCCTCCTTCCCCGTGACTCTCATGTGTACCAGCACAGAGACTTCCTGATTTGCAGCCGAGAGCATATCAGGACTGGAGCCATGTCCAGGTCCAACTGGCCTGGCTATGTCATCTGGGGAGCCTCTCCTGTCCCTGTTCCCTCCAGCCTAAGGCAGTGGGAACAGGTGCCTCCCTCATAGCATGGTTGTGTGAGGGGATAGTGTGTGTGGTTGTTCCCTGGCACACACGCGTTCAAGAAGCGTTAGCTCTGTACATCTCTGCATGGGAATCTGCAGGATCTGGAGACGTGTTAGGCCTTCTCTGGTCCACCTTTTATGTAGATTCGATAGAGCTGAGCAAGAGGGCTGAACCTTAATCGCCGTCTGTTAGAAAGAGTTCTCCCTTGGTAAAGCTGTGGCCTCTGTGAAGGGGCTGTGTGTAGTTGATGACCACAGTAATTATGTATAAGGACTTGCACCTGAGCAGAGACCCTCAGAAGGGCTCATGGTGCAAAATTCTGCTTTCCACGAGCCATCTCCTCCATGTGGAAGGAGCTTCCTTTTGTTGTTGTTTGGGGGTGGGGGATTTTTTTTTGAGACAGGCTCTCAATATGTAGCCCAGGCTGGGCTCCAACTCAAGATTCTCCCGCCTCAGCCTCCCGAGTGTTGGGACTATACGTGTGCATCACCATGCCCAGCTCTGGAAAGAGGTTCTATGAAGT